CGGAGGTATAAATGACGGAGTTTTTGACCATTGATGCGAAATATTCTTTGGTACTTACCTCAGGTCTCAGGAAATAATTTTTTTTTCTTATTTTTACCAGCTACTAAAGGATAAAGAGGAAATGACAAAGTAAAAAAAAAAAAAAAAAATGAAAGAAAGGATGGAAAACGAAGTAAAAAACCGAAGTGAAAAAGGGAAATGGGAGTATGGAAATATTTGTAATAGAAATGTTTCGGTCCATTAAGTCGTATACATTTCTTATCGTTACCACAATTGTACCTCGTCAGTACGACAATTATATATTTTATGCAAATGGAACAGTTGGCAGATATTAGCAAGGGATGAAGACAAGGTTGACTCTAGCTACATTACGCTGCTCTGTGTGGTATACAAATATCTCACCATAATAGAAAGTTATAATAGGAAAGAATGGGAAAAAGAAAAAAAAAGGAAAACCTTAAAACTCGAGCCTCCTTGTAATATAAAGCTGATATGACTGACAATGATAGGTGACGTATTTATCATCCAATGCTGCGTAACGACAACGGCGTACTACTGCTAGTCAGATTTGCCGCTGGCGTTGACCTTCCTTGGTTTTGTGTTTTCTTTAATGAAGCTTGTTTTGCTGTGAAACTCCTTCCAGGAAGTTAGGTGCGCCGTAATGGGCGAACGATACACATTTTTTACTTACTTCAAAGCGAATCCATCAGCATCCCTTTAAGGGAAGTTGGGAGAGCGGAGCGGGGGGCGGAGGTGGGGCGGAGGCAAAGGTAGGGCGGGGCAGGGTGGGAGAAGGAGGAGGGGTTCTTCTGGACCTTGATGCCTTCAACACGTTGTTAAAATTCACATGTTTATTTTATAAGCAAATTTTAGTTTGTGGTGATGCAAATACACTGAAATATAAGGGTCGCACTGTAACATCAGAAGATGAAAGATACGAAAGTGTGCGTCACTGTCGTTATGTGGATGAAGTGTACAAGGATGCTCCGTGGTATTGCACCGTTGAATTTCTCAAAGAACTGAAGGTATTCGTGACAGCATGTACTGTTTTTGTACCTCAGTTGCTTGAACCCGATTTTTTTTTTCTCGGTCATTTATGAAGCTCGAGTATTTTTCATAGCGGTTACGTCTTTTTACGTGCACCCTGCAGTTTAGTGCTAGTTGGTACCATAATAAGCGAAATTCAGGGCAGTAGCTGAGTTACTATTTCTATAGAGTGGCAGTAAAAAGTGACAGCTAGTGAGCATAGCGCTACCGTTTATTAAAGGTCGAGAGCTCGGCCTCGTTAGGAAAACCAAGAAAAAAGCCGGCAAAGAAGCCGCTACAAAAACGTCAATGAGAAAAAAACCAAGAAAAAAAGATGCCTTGAAAGGCAGATAGTTAGGAGGGATAAATGTCGCGAAAAACCCGCGGAAAGCGATCAAGAAGCTGCCACAAAAGAAAAGAGAAGAAAGGAGAGGTGTACCTTGCCTTGAAAAGTAGATACACAGTAGATGTGCTGCCAGGCTGAACCTTGGACACATGGACCGGTGGTGTAGTGGTAACACATTGCGACTGGATGTGGGGATGGGTGGTTCGATTCCTTCCCCGTCCGGCGCGCTTTTTGGAGAAAAGGCTCTGTTCACGACAAGAAGTGAAAAGAGTTCAGAGTTCCCTGATGTTTTGCTCTTTCTGTTTTTCAGGTTGATTTCATCGCGCACGATGCTTTACCATATATTGCACCAGGCGAAGAAGATTTGTACGATAAGTTTCGTCGTGAGGGTATGTTTCTCGAAACACAGCGAACAGAG